CACACACACACACACACACACACATAGGGAAATAATAGAGAGACAGAGTAAATTTATCCTTGTGTGTGTCTGTATCTGTGTGTGTGTAACAGAGGTTGGTGGGTGTTGGCTTTATACATCAGGGACACTTATCTTGGCTCCAAGTGCAGGCTTATTCTTTTCAACATTGTAGGCTACTTTCAAATCACACACACATGCAGAGACTTCTGCAACTGGACAGAGTTGAGCTGGGCTGGGTAGGGGTTGACTGTGGTTGAATGCCTTTCCAGTCATGCTCCATAGACAAGCTTCTGGCCTTCTTTCCTACTACTGGCTCTCTCTGTCTTTGCACCTGTGTCTGGGCTCTTTTTCACCACTCACCACAATGCTGCAAGGGACACGAGTGTAAATGTTGTGAAGAGGGATTTGAACCACATTTTGGTGATGAGGTATGGGCCTGTCTGGTACTCTTAAGCCCAGATGGAAGGGTTCAGAGCAGGAACTATAGCACATCTTGAAGTAAGAAAAAACAGGCAGAGTAGCTCAGATCTATTCATTTACAGTATAAAAAAAGCCTAAGCGTAGTAGGCCTTTTGGCTTAACAGTAGAAGGAGATTTGTATTTTGGAGTAACAGATTTTTCCAAAGGCTCTCATTGTGAAATGAAATTTATGCTACACAAATGATCTATTGGAAACAAGCAATAATGTATCTTAGGTCATCAGTACAAACTGGGTGCAAAGAGAAAAACAAAAGACAACTAAAAGGCAGTAGAAGGCAAATCTGGGGTATGTTCCCCAGTTTTTTCAGGTTTGATACTTTTCACTGGGATGATTTCATGTTCTCCTTTTATGTCAGAGACCAAGGGAGATGGAGTTCTGTATGTCTGTATGTTCCCAAACTTTGGACCTGTCCCTCTCTTCTGACATCAAAAATGTTGACATAAAAGGACAATTTTAGTCATTACTCAAAATCTGCATTTTAAGACTACTTTGGTGTCCCCCAGAACTTTGCATCGTCTTAATTTCACTTTTATTTACATTGTGTTTCACGCAATAGGCTTAAATCTATGTTGATATTGTTAGGAACTTCCTGTATGTTAGGCGCTTTAAAAAATATAAAAAAATAAGGCCAGTATTCACAATAAGCAGTTACATCAATGTACGTTACCTCTGCATGCTGCTGAAAAAAACAAACAAACAAACTACACTGACAACCTTTAAAATAACAAAGTTCAAGAAAACGTCACATGAAGCCAACCAGACCTTTTCTTTGCTCTTCTCTCCTTCTGTCACCTTTCTTTTGCCCATTCATTTTCTGCCTGCCCTATCTGTCTCTTTAATCTCTCTGGCTGTTTTTTTTTTTTTTTATCTGCTCGCTCTGTCCCTCCCTCTGTTTGCAGCCAGCATATTGATTGCCCATGTCTTTGCCTCTGCAGCTCCTGCTTATTGATCCTTAACTAAGACACACAAACTTGTATGCACAAACATCCTCAGATATATGGATGTACCCTTCCCATTTCCCAATAGCCCCAAAACCATCTTACTTTGCAGCCCAGTTTTGTCACACACATTACTCATACATGTACATGTGCCTGCGCTCCCATGTGCATAAACAGAACCAAAGCAGCACTCACCAGGACACCAGATATTTTTTGCATATACCCTCTGTTGTGTTGAATAGACTTGGCATTGATGGACGTTATGCCTTTGTGCTCCTCTCATGACTCATTAAAGTGAATGAGACCCGTGTGTGTTTGTGTTGGTGTGAGTCTGGGGCCCTGTAGCTGCTGTAGGTCTGGGCCCAGCTCTCTCTTCGTATTTTTTTCTTTCTCTTTGACTGGACCTGCAGGCTTCTTCCAGGGAGCCTGGTCAATATGGTCATTCTGTCAAGCAATTAACATCGATCAGCGCTCGTCAATACCGTCAGCACCCAGACAAAGACCCAGGGTGCATTGCGTGCGCTCGCCCTTTCTCTATCACAGTCCAACAAATCCCCAAACAGCACTCTCATTATATGAGGGCATTCTGCCCTGACCCCAAGGTCATCATGCAGGATTCAATGTTATGGGTGACTGGAGTACAACCTAATGCAGAGCTCAGAGGGTTCTGAGCCGCAGGCCAGTTGTTGACTCATTATTGCAGTTGTGCATACATGTGTGGAGGTGTGGAGAGGGAGTCAAATAGTTTGGTTTAGATATAGGCAAAGACAAGTTGGCAGGCATGCAATATCGTCCCCCTGCTGTTTATTCCAAAGCGCTAGACATTTTGAAAACTTTGAACAGTATAAATGCAATCCATCATTCTGGTGACATACTGTGCGGACTTGGAAATTTCAGATGTGTCAAGTGCAGTGGATTGTGTCCAATTAACTTTGTCTATAAGATATGGGCTGTATATGTTAGCATGTGAAGAGGGATCAGGCCTGTGTGTATGTGGGACCTCCAAAGGGAGAAGAAGACTTGTGGCTTTGATTAATACCTGCAGACATGGACCCTAAACTTCACATCAGATGTTGAGATGTCAGCCTAACATTGGTTTCTGGTATAGATATCCCTACTCTGTTAATCATGGGCCAAGTTTAAAC